ACGAGAGGGATGACTGCAGGAAGAGATACCAGGTCATATTGCCAGAGTGCTACTTCATACTTGCACTAAGACTAAGATTATTTTGTAAATAATACAAGCTCAAGACACAGAACAGCTTTGTCTCACAAGGAAAGAGATTGACAGAATTGCCTTTTACAGCCAGACAAGAAGCCAGTTCAGGAATGTGACATTATTCTGAGAGGCAGTGAAAGACAGGCATATTTTACAGTTTTCAGGAGAAATACTAGAGCACACATGAACTTTTACTGCTTAAAAGTCACACCAGGTATTGCCTGAAAGTTGCAGCAGGAAGGAGAAAAGCATCAGAACTTTGTTTCACTTTCAAAGGTCAGCACCATGTTCAAGAGATTTCCCCGCTCCTTCGGGAAACGTCAGGCCTGGAGCCGAGATGAGAATCACCACATTTTTCTCATACTCGCAGCAATACTCATTTAGATGTATTATTTAGCTGAGCATGAAGTGTTTATACATAACTTCTTGACTGTAAATTGTACATGATACTAATGATATACAAATATTAGTTGTTTTGTCTCCTGTATTAGTACTACATTGCAATTAACATGCATGTAATGTTTTAGATTGCAAGCATCCTTCCTGCTTTTCACACGAATTTCTTCAGAACCACTATTTATAAATCATTGTTTTTTCCCCCAGCTACTGACCATCCGGATTTTGTAAAGTTCACAAAACAAAATACTCTGAAATAGCACTGACACATGGCCCCGTTTAATTATAGACCAACAGCTTTGTTATGCTTCTTGTCCTTCATTCCTACCCTGCTTGTAAAAACAAGAATTTTAACTCTGTACAAGGGTCTTGGGGTAACAGCAACACTTCAATGCCCTTTAGATACAGATGTGTGCCTGCCAGTACTGACATCTTGTGGTCTTCAATAAAATAGTTCCCTCTGCATTTCACATTTACAGCACAATTTATTGCAGACCCACCGTAGGGCCAGAGCAATCTGGTGGCAGCACCCCTCTACACCCCACAGCATCCAGTTGTAAAGGTAGCTGAACACACTAGCATTTGCTTTCCAGCAGCAAGACGATGCAATTAGTTGTGTGTACCACTCGCCAGCTGGCTCAGGAACATCACTAATTACATTACATGCGTTAATGCAATTTAGCTTTTGTATGGGACATCATCTACCCTCTATATTTAATCCACAAGAGTCTCTCAAACCCTCCAAAATAACTGCAGCCTTAGAAGTCCGGTATCACGTTTACAGAAAGCAAGCAGAGCACACGTTCACAACGTTGTTTCTGGGCATTGCGCTCTCTTTGTAGATTAATCCATTGCCTTTTCCACATCTGCTGCTTCTCATTTAAAGCTCTTTACCTTCCCAGCTAAAGGCTACTGAGACAGTTCTACCCATCCTCATTTCTGCACCCTACCTGTTGCATGCACTCAGGCTAGACTATAAGAAAGTACCAAGATTAGTTTACTCCTTCCCTTTATCATCACTCCTTGGTGATTTTTCCCATTTCCTACTGCTCCTCATATAGCCTGAACAAAAGCTTAAAACAAACAAAAAAAATAATCAAGAAAGCAGGCCAGAGAGCCACAAAGTTTGAAGAACACAACCCGATTCCTCAAACAAAATATCCAGAAAGCAGGCCAGAGAGTCACAAAGTTTGAAGAACACAACCCGATTCCTTTCAACTAAGGGTTCCCATGGTCAGAGCTCTATAAGAATATCCGAGTATCACGACTGTTCACAAGTTTTCTGGCCTTACCACATGCTCCACACAACACAGAATCACAGAACAACATGGGGTTGGAAGGGAGCTCCAGAGATCATCTAGTCCAAACCCCTTGCTAAAGCAGGTCCACCCAGAGCAGGTTGCACAGGAACATGTCCAGGCGGGTTTTGAATGTCTCCAGAGATGGAGACTCCATCACCTCCCTGGGCAGCCTCTTCCAGTGCTCTACCATCCTCAAAATAAATAAGTTCCTCCTCATGTTTAGGTGGAGCTTCTTATAGTCAAGTTTGTGCCCATTTCCTCCTGTCCTACGCCTGGGCACAACAGATTGATAAACAGAAGGACTAAGACCTTGAACATCTACTTACTCCCAACTGGATTGATAAAACAGAAGGATTAAGACCTTGAACATCTACTTACTCCCAACTTAAAACCCAGAACCTGCTTCAAATCTCCAGTTTTAACTTAGCTTTCCAATAGAACCAGATAAGCACGGCAGAAATTCCATATTTACAAAGCGGTGAGCACTGCATTTACCATCCAGGATGCTCTGAGGAAGAGCCATCTTAACAATTTTAAGCCTTTAGGTTTCGGCAAAGGCCGCTGCCCTGCAGCAGGTCAGCTGAGTAACACGGGAAACACCACCGTGCCCCCGCATTTCCAGCTTCAGAGTTACCCTAAGATCGGTTTGAATGTTCACTTACTGTGATTTCGGTACACAGGGGTAATTAAGTTCCAAAATCTACGCCTAAATCAATTGAACAAACGCATTCCCTGTTTAGCAGATTCCTGAGCTTTTCCGGGCAACAAGCCTCCATGTACAGCATCCTGGCCTGTCTCAGGAACAGTGTGGGGAGTAGGGCCCGAGAGGTGATTGTCCCCCTGTACTGGGCACTGGTGAGGCCTCACCTCGAGTGCTGTGTCCAGTTTTGGGCCCCCTACCATAAAAAAAGACATCGAGGTGCTGGAGCGGGTCCAGAGAAGGGCAACAAAGCTGGTGAGGGGTCTGGAGCACAAGTCTTGTGAGGAGAGGCTGAGGGAGCTGGGTCCCAAGTCACAGGCGACAGGACGAGAGGAAATGGCCTCAAGTTGTGCCAGGGGAGGTTCAGGCTGGATATTAGGAAACATTTTTTCACTGAAAGGGTTCTCAGGCATTGGAATGGGCTGCCCAGGGAGGTGGTTGAGGCCCCATCCCTGGAGGTGTTCAAAAGACAGGTTGATGTAGTGCTGGGAGGTATGGTTTAGTGATGGTGATGCTCCTTGTTTGTTGTGTGGGTGTCTGTTTTTGTCAGTCAGGTTGATGGTTGGACAAGATGATCTTTAAGGTCCCTTCCAACCTAGAAGATTCTGTGATCTGTACTAACTGCAGCTAACTCTTGGCAGCGCTGGGGTGCGGTGACCGACTTCAAGAATCTTCTGTTTGGAATAAGGTCATTAGAGCTTTGTAACAAGATTACGTGGCAAGGGCAGTCAACGATGGCTACAGCTACGCCACTGGTGAAGTGTTGTCACATAAATTGATGTCAGGAAAGCATTAGCTAATACTTTTGTTTGAATCCAGACTTAAACTTTATCAATGATGACTAACCACAAGGCCATGCATCAAGTCAGAGTTTTCCTTGGCATGAGTGGGCCTTAACTCCTTCCAAATACGTAGTGCTTTATCAACCCTTTTACAGCAGCTCAGCTCATTACACGTTCCTGCACTGGGCTAGCCAGGCTTGCTTAGGGCATTTCTCTGGTCATCTCTTGCCAACACCAGTCTAAACACCAAGCACTTCTACATGGCCAACAGGACTAGCCAAGTGCAATGAGGAGGTGGTGGAGGAGCCTTCCCTCCCCTGCAGGAAGAGAGAGGGCAGCACCAGGGTGCACTGCACAGCGTGTCCTGCACCCTGCAAGACACCGCAAACTTGTATTATTAGAAAAATGAAAGGAAAACAACTTTGATAGGAAGATCATTCACCCCGTACGCCTACACGGCTCTGCAGTTTTACCACCCTCAGGTACAACAACTAGAAAAGCAAAGCACTGAAATACCTTAAGCTGTTTCAAAACTCACAACCACCTTGATCGTCAGTACTAGCCAAAAAAACTCCCATGATAATACTTTTCTAAATATGTACTTCAAAGTCTCAAGAGTAGGATCCAAACAGCTGCCCAAAGTGCCATATACAAGCCAGTCTCAAAAACAGACTGTAACATCACCTGAAGATTTCCTGGCACGTCCTCTCCAGCAGAAGCCTTAAAAAACACACGCACAGGAATAAACTGTCTTAGCTAATAAACTTTGAGCAGAACTCCACAGCAGCAGCTGGTGGTCCCACTTCTGTTTAACTTGCTTAAAAAGTCTACCATGTTTACAAGGCAGTTTAGCAGATCAGAGCAGGTTGCTTAGCATCAACCACCTCAAAGCTATTCTGCCTTCCATATGAGGAAAAGCAAGGGTGTGGTGCTCTTCACCTTCTGTGTATTACAGAGAGTTACGTTTTAAAAGATCTAACTATGTAAGAGTCTACTATTTTAAAACCAATCTATCTTGAGTTAAAGGTCAAAAAAAAAAAATAGAAAAAACCCTGATGAAACAAAGATATTTGCACCTCACAAATTCAGTCTCAACACACATGCTGTCATCTGTTGTCTTAACTCATCCTAACGCCACGCATCTAGTGACTTAATTCCAGAGAGTTTTACATATTTAAGAAAACATGTGGTGTTTGCTACAGGCTGTAATTTCTTACATTTGACTTGAAAAATGTAATCCATCTCCCAAATATACTTCCACCAAAACTTCTATTGTGAAATTTCTACACGTTGTTCATAAGCAGCCTTTGATCCACCAATAACTGTATTTAAGTGGGGAGGGGGGAAGATATGAAGCCACCCCACTCCCTCAAAGAGAGTATTACACAACCTAAACTCAATAATGTAAAAAATCTTAAATTTCTCTGTAACTTCTAGGTGTGATGCTTTCCTGCAGTAAAGGTAACTGGCACTTCTTTAAGCACTCTTGTCTCAGCAGATTTGTGGCAGAGCACCGGACAGCGAGCACAGCCTGAAAACACAAAAGGATCATTGACTGCACCACTGACTACATACTGTAAGTCAAAACAAACAGCAGGTTTTATCATCTACCATGATTTAAGTTAAAATTCTTTACTTCCAAGCTTTCCAGACATACATATGTATCTCCTAACCAGATTCCATCATCCCCTTCTCCCCCCCACCCACAAAAAATTCAGGTTGTGGAAGAGATTCAGAAAGAGGCTGAAATATGCTTACCCCCAGTAATGGTTAGATCATCTTTAATTCTAGCACCTGAAGTTATACAAGGGTTTGCTTAATAATCAAGTTTCAAAGAACTGTTGGACACATTCAGTAAGGTGACAACTGTGCAATACCACTCAGTATTTCAATATCAGGGAACATACTCTTGAATTGTTTAAACACAATCCACAGAACTCAAAATTAAACAACCATCCACAGTTTAACTAAACAATCAGTTAAAAGTCTTACAGTTTAATAATTCACATGATAGTCAGTCTTTAGTAAGGGATACTGAAATTCATTAAAACACAACACTAGATTTTACTCTATGGGTGTGTTGGGCAGGCACATAATTGGCCATTCTTGGGTGTAACCGGAAGAGTAAGGAGAAGTTTACCACAGTTTGGCAAATCCCACATTTTGTCAGTTAAAAGTGAACTGTGAGAATTAAATACTCATCTTTACATATACACAAGTTATGCTGTGAAAGCATATTTGCTTACAAACATATAAAAATACTTGTTAACTAGTTTGATAAGAAAATAATGTATAAAAGTATATAGCAAAAACATTTAATCATCTCTGACAATGGAAAGATCAAATTCATTTTTATATCACATGAAACAAAAACAGCTACAATTTTAGGTTTCCTTAATCCCTTACCCAGAAATACAAAGGAAGACACAATTTGTTTCCAAACAAATGATGTGAAATTTCTTAATAAGCTGAAATGCCTCAATCCAGAATGAGCTCAGGTATTTGGCCATATCCTAATAGTAGTAGTAATTATCCTGTAGCTATTCTGGATTCATAAAATAAATACAGTAGAATGTTTTGGCCACTGAAATAAAACTGCAGCATAAATGAGAGATGAAAATCTTTGCTGACAATGAAATTCAGTGTAGGTTTCTTAAGGCTAGCTGAATACTCACGTCTAATTTAACTGAGGGCAAAAAAAGCCAATCCACCCCTTTTTTAAAAGTATTCTCTGTACTTCAATATAGGTCTTTGTAATAGCTAATGAAACGGCAGAAGTAAAAATAAATTAAATTCACAAGAGACAACTTATGCATGACTTCAACACCTTGTCCTACACGGTTTTGTTTCATCTCCTTTGCGAATAAAACTCCACAAGGTGCAAGCTCTTAAAGGGAGAGAAGGAAGGAACTGTGGTATTAAAAAGAAGCAGCCTTAGTGTTTTGTTTTGAAGTCTGCCCCAGGATGACTGAGTCTTCTTCAGGAACTATTCTGCCAGCTTCTTGGACTAAGGCTATTCTGGTGACCACTTTTAGGACATGCACATATAAGGCTAGACCAATACCAGAAGTGATGTAAAACGATGGAAAGAAAAAAAAAAATAAAAATCTGGCAGTTGATAGCTTGGTTCTTGGGATTCTCAGAAAATAACACAATGGCAGCCTTTCTTGTCTTTTTCTTTCCGTGTTGGCTCTGGTGAAGGAGGGCACTCTTGTTCTTGAAATTTCCTGGAAATAGATATTTCAAATTAAATTTCACATAATTTTTTTCAGTTAAATAAATACTGTATTTAAAATTACTGGTTTTACACTTTATTATAGAGGATGGACTTACTTTTGACACTCAAACTACTGATTAAATGAGTGATAATTTTTTAGGGGTTGCTTTTTTTTTAAGAAACATTATTTTTTACAAAAGGCCAATTTCAGATTTACTTTAACAGGCTTACTTACTGGGTGATCAATAAAATTTGAGAGATTAAGGTGAATAAGTTCTCTTTCAAATACATATTACATTAAAGTAAACATTTTTTCCCAATATGCAGTGATATTTTATAATGGAGAACACCCGTTGAAGTTTACGGGTAGCAGCAGGTAGAATTCTCTCAGCAATCTCCTATTACATTTGCTAAAACTATCCATTAATGTAGGGGCATGAATTATCTGGTCTTCAGTTATCATACCTTATAACTCTGACAAGTTCATGAAAAGCTTGGTCTACATTCAATCTGATTTTTGCAGAGGCTTCCATGTATGTTACTTTAAGTTGCCGTGCTAGCTGCTGACCTTCCTCTTGTGTCACCTGGAACAGACATCAACCATTAAGCTGAAGGCTTCTGCAGGCACATTCATATCAGCAGACACTACAAATACATGTTAAGGGTCTATTTTCCTCAAACAATAATGCTTATTTGGCCACAGAATGGTTTCCACACTGTCCACACAATACAACTAGGAAACAAATCCATGTAATACAGCTTCTCAAATGCAACTGAAGATGGCTTTTTAAAAATTTCTGCGATAGACAAAGACTCTAAAGAATATCCCTCACTGCAGCTGCCTTGTCTTCACATCATTTCTGCATAGCAAGACTGAGTTTTCCTTCACAAGCAGGCAGGAGTTCCCCGTTCCCCCTCAAAATGTTTCAGTCAACGTCTGCTGGACTACTAACAGAACTGTGAATACTATTGATAAATTCACCTTCTTCCTGCCCCAGCTATATCTAGAGAAAAAAAAGAAATTTGGATTATTACTTTTAAAACAAGAACTGACACTTAGCTTCTGAATCTTTCTAAAACTAATTTTTTTTGAAAATATATTTAGTTTTAAGTGCAGCTTCAATTATAGAAGACCTACAAAACCCATGAAGACTTGACTACCCACAGATATTAAAGAAACCCTGTCTACTTCTTGACTCCCTGAGACAACAGGGGAAGGGAGATGATAATGAGGGAGGAAATCATGAGTGTCATAAAGAATTGGTATGAAATTCAGAGTGATGAAGCAGCAGGCAGGAAGCTAGGGGACCGTTATAGGAAGGAGGAGTAAGTTGGTCACAGGGCAAAACCAAAGGAGATGGCTGCATGTTTTGGGATGAAGTAGCAAGCAGTGAGGTCGGGCAACAGAAGGCCACCCCGAGCAATGCAAGGGAAGGTCACCCACAGGGCCGGGGAGGAAAGGACAGCTCTCAGTGATAAAGGAAGTCACACACATCTTGCTAAGACAGCAGCTAGTGGAAGAAGTGTCAAAGATTACACAGCTTTCACACAAAAACATGAAACCAGCACATAGAGGACCGATATGAGAACACCAAAAAAAAAATAATTAGGGTTTCTTTTTAATTTAGCATTGAAAAGGCACTCAGATATTCACTTAAATTAAGAAGCTACACAGAAATGGAAATAGATGGGAATAGAAAAGCACCACTGGGAGCATTTGTAAGATCTAGAAGTACTTTGAGCTTGCAAAATACTTTCCTAACAGCTACACACACTGTTTGAGAGCCTTTAGGCACAGCATCTCAACATGTTTGATTCCCCTGTCCTTAGCACCCTCACTGGTATTGTATCCATATATTTGCTGCTGCACTGAAGGCTGATCCCACTAAACTCTCATGAAACTCTACGAGGAGCCCCCAGCACCTTGTGCCATTAGCTAGAGTAACTCTGGATGCATCTGCTGATCCCAAACACTCACAGAAACTCTACATTTATTTCTGTATTATCACCATCTGCTGAAGCCAAAACCATCCCAAAACCAACTGCATTTTTAACTGCAGGGCACAAAGTGAGATTGACCAGATCCTTCAGTCCCCCACTGGTGTCTGAAAACTGGACGATATTATGGATTTTTGCTCCAGTAGCTAAAACAAACCCACTTACACCTTCCAGTCCCAGATGTTGAAATATCCTTATTCCAAAGCTTGTGAAGACTACAGTTTAAGAAATATTCATAGCTGTCTTCTAGTATGTCGATGACATTGCAGAACCCCCCAAAGTTTGGATTAGGATCTCCAGACACTTTTATGCACCTCTGCCTCATTCACCAGAAAAAAAAAACAAGTATGGATACGGCAGCTTTTGCAAATGAACTCCCTTTACTTTTCTTCATCCCAGTATAGTCAACTGTAGCCCTAGAAAGTGACAGACTGAGGTCTAATAAAAATAAGTAACTGGGAAGGAATGTATAGACCTGAAGAGAAACTGAATCCAGTCTTTAAACGTACATGGTTACTACTTTCTTCATTATTGTGTCTAAAGTACATGAGAAGTAAAAGTCAAACCAACACTGTAATAAAGATAAGCTACACTTCCATAGTATTCTGCATTTAAGAAATTATAGATGCAACATTAAAGCCCTTACTGTATTTCCTAGAAGACCTGTAATTGCTTAACTCCAAATAAATCTTTTTGTCAGTCCTACAAGTATATTGTCAAGTAGCTTGTGATCAATTTCAGTGACCTTAACAAAGTCAGTTTAAAAAAACAAAAACTTGATTTTTGGCACACTGTGGAAGCATTTGCAGTGCCCAAGCTCTAAATTAGAGGCCAGAGCATACTAGTTCCACTTTCATAGCTGAGGGAAATGTAGTAAGTGCAATCACAGAAATACTTGAAAACAAAAACATGAGTTTACATCTTTATGTTTTCCCTTCCTTCTGAAATATGACAAACTTGTGTCACAACAGACTTCTCAGTGGGGAGAGCTTAAAGGTCACAGCGAAATAAAAACTTCATTATTTTTTTTAAAGAACACTGTATTTTATTTTGATGGAAGTAAAGAGAAACTGATTTTCTGGCAGTAATTGTGTATGTATGTGTGTACACACATGTTGATTTGACAGTGAAAACACCTTGGTTTTGGTAAGCTTAAGCCCCATTATGAATTAATTACAATGCTTATTCTTTGATTTAGGATGTTGTACTGTTTGTTTTTGAATGTCATTCATTCACACTGTTCAGTATTTGGTAAAAGTTTTCCAAATTAAACACCACTCTAGAAGATGTAAGTGAGCAAGTCAAACATGGAAAAGCTTCTTCTCCAACTCGCTAAGTAACAGTTGTCATACTGTTAGTTTCCATCTGAGTATCTGCACAAGAATCCTGTGAACAACTCTCACACAGACCTCCCTCTTCACTATTACATTTGTGAACTGTCATAAATATATTAATTTCTGAAGTTTCTATTCTTTCCTCCACCTAAAGAAACCTTATAAGGCTGCCTAACCTAACACTGCATCTGTATTTTGCCTCGATACTTACACAGACTGAGAACCACATTAAACTTGTATAAGCAGGTAATAGTTAAATGCTTCCTCAAGTTTGAGAGGAATTCATTTTTACTTCCTTGAGGTCACCCTATAGTGCTCCCTGGGCAGAAACATTGCCCAGTCCTGCAGAGAGCTCCATCACTCCTGAAGACAGAATCACAGAATCTTCTAGGTTGGAAGGGACCTTAAAGATCATCTTGTCCAACCGTCAACCTGACTGACAAAAATAGACACCCACACAACAAACAAGGAGCATCACCATCACTAAACCAGTTCCTGCAGAGAGCTCCAATCACTCCTGAAGACTGCATCCATCATCCTGATGTTCTGCCCCACCACCCCACCCACAAGTGCTGCTCATTCATGGTTACAGTGGGCTACCATAATGCTTTCCTGGAGGGGTAGTTCACTGTCCACTTACTCTATTTTGTCCATCTTCTCATATAAAAGGACACTTTGGTACACACAAACTGATATTCAAATAGATTGACTTGCTGTATTCAAATAATCAGCAATAAGGCATCTGATGCAATATCTATAAAGCTCAAGATCAAGCAAGCCATGAGAAGACTGCAACCATCATCCTGATGTTCTGCCTCGCCACCCCACCCACAAGTGCTGTTCATTCATGCTTACAGTGGGCTACCATAATGCTTTCCTGGAGGGGTGGTTCACTGTCCACTTACTCTATTTTGTCTATCTTCTCATAAAAAAGGACACTTTGGTACACACAAACTGATATTCAAGTAGATTGACTTGCTGTATTCAAATAATCAGCAATAAGGCATCTGATGCAATATCTATAAAGCTCAAGATCAGGCAAGCCATGAGAAGACCTGAAGCTACAATCCATCACTGTACATGACCATAAAATCTACTACCTCAAGAGGTTACTGTCACACTTTTTTACAGAGTTTATAATAGCCAAGGCAGCAAAACCAAAATGTTAATGGCATTCAGGTTCCTGTTGCACTTTGGATTTTCCTTGAAACTCTGCCATCTGGGGAACGATCAGACTTGATCCAGTTTAAGCTAGCAGTTACCTACAAAACGTCACATGTATCCTGCACTGACAAGTCTGCTCCTCCATCAGGAGTGGTTATTACCAAAACATCCGATGTTCTACTGAATTGTCTGACTGTAGAAACATCCAGTGTTTAATTGTACAAAATTAATTCACTTAAGAGAAAGACTGCTACACAGCATTTAGTTTAAGGAAAGAATAATGAGATAAGGTCCTTCAGCTTTGGTTTCAGTTACCAACCTAGGACTGATCGGGGAATCTGGAAACAGGGGTAACTATTTGTTGCCATACAAGGACATTCTAAAGATTAATGCTTGCTCCCTTGAATAACTAATTTTTCTTTGTCAACTTAAGTGAGGACTTTGCCTACCATACCACAAAGGAGAGAAAAATCACAAGCAGCGTGCTTAACTGCAGCTAGCTATACAAATTGCTACTTCAAACCTCCTATTTCACCTCTCTTCCAAAAAACCACCTGCGAGTTGACCTATAGCATATTACATCACCACCACTTTGGGCTACACCTTTGGTACCCTCCTAACACTTCATCAAGATCACACTAATGTCTGTGTAATTCTGCTGTACAGCAAGAAACAGCTGGCACCATACGAGGATTATTAGCTACGCATCGTTTGCTTCCAAACTTATGGCATCATAACGCTAGTACTGTGTTCAACTACAAAATACAGTTGCTTGCATAAAGGTGTGGTCAGACCCTCGAGACATCCCAAACTTTTGTACATATACTCTTCTGGTCTCCAGTGCTAAGTCTGTTACTAGTACTGTGTACTGTGTTCAACTACAAAATACAGTTGCTTGCATAAAGGTGTGGTCAGACCCTCGAGACATCCCAAACTTTTGTACATATACTCTTCTGGTCTCCAGTGCTAAGTCTGTTGAGTATTGTTTGCTGAGCGAAACACACACTAAATGACTTTAACTTAGTTTTATGCTCTCAGAGGTAGCACGTGTTCTCGATTATTCCACCCGTTTGCCTCGTCTCTTTCAGAAACAGGCAGCAGATGCCTAGTACAAGTAATTTTGCTCTAAAAACTCATACCCAGCTTCCTGAATTTCTAAAAACGTTACTTAAATTCTGAAGCTGAAAAATGTACGTTTGTGATTAAACAAGTTAAGAGAGCAAGAGACTTCTTGTAGAACTGCCGGGTAAGTAAAAGGACTGAGTGCAATGCTCTAGCCTGGCTGAAGCGAGGTTTGACACACTGGCAGACTGAAAATGCAAGATGACAGATTTGTGATTAAACAAGTTGAGAGAGCAAGAGACTTCTTGTAGAAGGCAAGTAAAAGGACTGAGTGTGATGCTCTAGCCTGGCTGAAGTGAGGTTTGACACACTGGCAGACTGAAAATGCAAGATGACAGACTAGCACTTCTCATGTTTTTTTTGCCCCAAACTACAGCCTGGGGACACCCTGCACTGCCCACTCACTCCAGCACTCCTAACAGAGGTAAGGGAGAACCCCCACCTTTTCCCCCCGACCCCCCATCAGGGTTGCCTGTGCAGCAAACCTGCAGCCAGAGAGGAAGACCTTGCTTGTCAGACTGAAGTCATTCTGTGTTTGGGGAAACGTGGCATCAGGACTTTTTTTCAGCCAGATCAGCAAGTTGGTCCAGTTGGATGGACCATCCCACTGAAGGGATGCCCGCATCGAGAGTTCACATGATGGAGCAGGAACAACCCCACCACCCACCAGAGCAGAGGCTCTGGCTTGCATTTAACCTCCAGCTGATAACATCTCACTGCTCAAGGCTGCCAAAAGGCGAGGTCTCACTTTCTTCCCCCCAACCCCAACTCCTCCCTGCTCCGCTCAGGGCCGCAGTCCCACCCCTTCCCATGCTCACAGCACTGGCACTCGGTCTTTCTGCCAGTTGATTTAACTCACACAGGTCCCAGAAAGCCATTCCAGCTCCTCTGTTTTTTCCTCCCCATCTAGAGAGATGATTCAACTCAAAGTGGTTCAAGTGAGAGTTATGGCCAGCAAAGGAAAGAGTGGGAATGTGAAGTCAAAAGGGAGAGGAGCCTCTCCCTTCTGGGGACCAATTACATCAGCTGAGCATCCCCAAACCATTCCTTCAGACTGACTTAAGGCCAACTGACACACACCACGTCATGGGGAAGGGGCAGGGAAGAGTTAAGAACACATAAACTAGCTGTTTCAGCAAACCCAGAAGTGCTATTTCAGCTACAGCTGTCGGAGCGCCAACCTAGGGTGGAAGTCACAAATCCACCAATTTGCATGTAAATTGTGTGAGTGATAGCACCAAAAGTTACACTCGTCAGCATCTGATCAATTAGGGCAATTAATATAGCCATAAAAAGCAAAAAAGAGCTTTTGGGGACATATGCTTTTATTTGTGTTCAGCTATAAGCAGCAAAACTGCAAAGTTAAGCAATTTGAAAACAGCTGCTTTGAGCTGGAATATGTAGCAGTCCATTTGCATCTGAAAAAGCAGCTAGGAGTCAGGTAGGGAGGGACAGCAGGAGAACAGCTGAACACCTCCTTTAAGGGAGAAACAGATGCGGTGTAGTAACATATCAGGTAAGGAGGGACAGCAGGAGAACAGCTCAACACCTCCTCCTCTAAGGGAGAAACAGATGCGGTGTAGTAACATCAGAAGGGTGGAGGAGAGAAAACAAAGTTCATAACTGTTTCTAGAAATGGATC